CCTTTTTTGTTGTTATATACCTGGATGACTGAGAAAACAAACTTTGAACACAACTTTAATTTGTTCAGTCTGTGCAATCATGAATAACATCCAATGTAAAATAAATAATAAAAAACCTGAAACTGACAAAAAATAGTTTGACAACTTTGGTCAAACATGAAAAAATAAACTTCAACAAACGTTTCAAATGGTTCAGGAATTCTAAATATAATGTAAAATAAATAATAAGGAGCTGAAATAAGAAGAAATAACAACAGCTTCGCTAGCTTGGTTGGCAGATATTTAAAATAAACAGCAATCAGCTCCGGTCCTTATGGATCAGTCACATTGTCACGATACCTAATCAAGAATTTTTTTCGCTATCGGTACCAATGCTGTGCATCTCTACCAATACCCGATATCGGTACCGATACCAATATTAATAACGGATTAGTGCACTTCTAAAACAACACAGGTGCAGAGAAACAGGCAATACAGAGGGGTTATTTTTATTGATTTTTAATTGTTTTATACTGTTCTGTATGTTTTTTTACTATTTTGGTATAGCTATTCACATTTACTTTATAATGTCCACATGTTGAGGTGTATTTTTTTTTTTTTTTTTTTTTAGAATGACAATACAATTTCCAGAATCTTGAATTAGAGATGGTAAATCTACAATGACACGTTTCTGGGGGGGAACAAAGTTGTCTTTTATCATTGCCTCATTACATTCTTCTCGGTAGACTGCACCCTATTTTAGTTCTGAAGCCAGACAGAATAAAAATCACTTTTGGTGTTGGATAATGTGAGCAGACGATTGTAAAGCTGTTTATATTTTCTTTATCCCAGTAAAGGAACAAATAGATGTCTGCGAGATACAATTTGCTACTAGATTGGGTTAAAGTTTTGAATTAAAGAATATCATGACAATATGAGAATGTAAAAATATTGCAATATATTGTATATCGCATTAAAATTCCAAAGAATGGCAATATGAGTTTAGGTCATTATACTAAAGTACTACTTCTGCCTTTTTCCCATTAAAAATGATGAAGACAAGAAGCTGCTGAAATACTTACAGGCCCAAACAAATATACAGTAGTCCCTCATTTATCGCAGTGGATCCGTACCCTGAAGACCCGTAACGAGTGAAAAACCGTGAAGTAGGGATAGTAGTGCAAGTAGTAAGTAGTGGTTTATTTTATTATTTATATACATATATACATATATATTAAGACGTGTGAAACCCTTTCCACACTCTTGCAATATCCTAAAAATAGTTTCTAAACTCTAAACGCTCTAAAAGAGCACAGAATGTCATGATTTCAGCTCTCTGCCTCTGCTGCTCTCAGCCACCTGCAAGGGCTCTCGGCCACACCCACTTCTCCGCTCTGCACCGCAGATCAGCTGATCAGCTGATCAGCTGCAGGAGGAAGTCTATCCTGCAGTGTGGGCTGCGCAAAGGTACAGCAGGTGCTAAATAATTTTAAATAATTTATTTTTAATAAAAATTCCATGCCGATCATGCAGGTCTTACATCAAGCAGCTAATTGTGTATCATGTCCTATCTTATTTTGAAAAATCGCAACGGAGCGAATCCGCAATAAACGAATCGCGAAGTAGCGAGGAACTACTGTACAACATATTGTTTTCTTACAGCTGCCATTCTGCTGGCCCCATAGTATTTTTTAATGCTTGGCTCAAACTCATATGCATCTTTTTTGACTTGCATAAATATAAAAATCTCCAATCAGAAAATTGGCATTTAATTTTCAGAACACTTTAGTGGTTACAACTGAACCCTTTATGACTCATCTTACCCACTAAACCTGAAATTGGTGGGCAAATAATTAGGCAAGTTCCACTAATGTTCATGTGTAAAACCAGCCAAATCACGACTGAAACAATCAGACTGACCGCTGCTCTTTAAAAAGCTGAATTCAGGAGTTATTTCTGCTATTTTCTAGAAAAGTGTTTCAAATGGATCACTCCGCTAGAATCAATGACTACTGTAATTTCCGGACTATTGAGCACACCTGAAAATAAGCCACGCCCACTAAATTTAAAAATAAAAAAAATTGTACACAGGCCACACTTATGTATAAGCCGCAGGTGTACATGTTGTGACGAGATATTTACAGAGAAAGGTTTATTAAACTTTTAATTAAATACGTACCGGTTACATACACAAATATGTACAGTAAAAAAAAAAATTCTGAACAGTATACAGTGCTTCCCCTAGATAACTTGCCATGGAGGGGCGCTCATCTCATCCATGATTTTTGTCCGGGGGCGCTGGAATGGAGACACAGAGACACCGCGTGCTGTTTGTACTGACGGTTTTAGAGCAGGGTGTGTGAGAGAAGAGACATATCTCAGTCGCGCGCTGTCTGAACCGACAGTTTGTTTGTTTTTTTGGCGGTGGGGAGGAGAGACAGACGCACATCTGAGCCGTGTGCTGTTTATACAGACAGTTTTCGAGTGGCAGGGGTGCGTTCAGCGTGAGGGTTCAGCATGAAGGAAGAGGCTGCCTTTAGCTTTTTAGCTAGTGCACCTGCATTGCGAGCAGCTAGTTTAGGGTTACGTCAGTGCCAACAGGTGGTTGAGGTTGGGGGTGGGGTTCGGTAGACGGTGCGCTCAGTTCTGTTGACGGGGCGGGGCGCCCCGCTTGTATAATGGTAGGGGAAACGCTGATGTATATATATATATATATATATATATATATATATAATTAGCATATTGTGATAAAGGTCATTATTTTCCATAATGTAATGATAAAAATGAAACTTTCATATATTTCAGATTCATTGCACACCAACTGAAATATTTCAGGTCTTTAATTGTTTTAATACTGATGATTATGGCATACAGCTCATGAAAACCCAAGATGCCTGTCTCAAAAAATTAGCATATCATGTAAAGGTTCTCTAAACAAGCTATTAACCTAACCATCTGAATCAACAACGTAACTCTAAACACCTGCAAAAGATTCCTGAGGCTTTTAAAAACTCCCAGCCTTGTTCATTACTCAAAACCGCAATCATGGGTAAGACTGCCGACCTGACTGCTGTCCAGAAGGCCATCATTGACACCCTCAAGCAAGAGGGTAAGACACAGAAAGAAATTGCTGAACGAATAGGCTGTTCCCAGAGTGCTGTATCAAGGCACCTCAGTGGGAAGTCTGTGGGAAGGGAAAAGTGTGGCAGAAAACGCTGCACAACGAGAAGAGGTGACCGGACCCTGAGGAGGATTGTGGAGAAGGGCCGATTCCAGACCTTGGGGGACCTGCGGAAGCAGTGGACTGAGTCTGGAGTAGAAACATCCAGAGCCACCGTGCACAGGCGTGTGCAGGAAATGGGCTACAGGTGCTGCATTCCCGAGGTAAAGCCACTTTTGAACCAGAAACAGCGGCAGAAGCGCCTGACCTGGGCTACAGAGAAGCAGCACTGGACTGGTGCTCAGTGGTCCAAAGTACTTTTTTCGGATGAAAGCAAATTTTTCATGTCATTCGGAAATCAAGGTGCCAGAGTCTGGAGGAAGACTGGGGAGAAGGAAATGCCAAAATGCCAGAAGTCCAGTGTGAAGCACCCACAGTCAGTGATGGTCTGGGGTGCCATGTCAGCTGCTGGTGTTGGTCCACTGTGTTTTATCAAGGGCAGGGTCAATGCAGCTAGCTATCAGGAGATTTTGGAGCACTTCATGCTTCCGTCTGCTGAAAAGCTTTATGGAGATGAAGATTTCATTGTTCAGCACGACCTGGCACCTGCTCACAGTGCCAAAACCACTGGTAAATGGTTTACTGATCATGGCATTACTGTGCTCAATTGGCCTGCCAACTCTCCTGACCTGAACCCCATAGAGAACCTGTGGGATATTGTGAAGAGAAAGTTGAGAGACGCAAGACCCAACACTCTGGATGAGCTTAAGGCCGCTATCGAAGCATCCTGGGCCTCCATAACACCTCAGCAGTGCCACAGGCTGATTGCATCCATGCCACGCCGCATTGACGCAGTCATTCATGCAAAAGGATTCCCGACCAAGTATTGAGTGCATAACTGAACATGATTATTTGAAGGTTGGCGTTTTTTCTATTAAAAACACTTGTCTTTCATTGGTGGGATGAAATATGCTAATTTTTTGGGACAGGCATTTTGGGTTTTCATGAGCTGTATGCCATAATCATCAGTATTAAAACAATTAAAGACCTGAAATATTTCAGTTGGTGTGCAATGAATCTGAAATATATGAAAGTTTCATTTTTATCATTACATTATGGAAAATAATGACCTTTATCACAATATGCTAATTTTTTGAGAAGGACCTGTATATAGTAGCCTACCAGGAAGTAATTGATCATCTTCTTCATCTTCCTCCTGTGCCCTAAAACCACTAGTCATCTTTGTTAGTGTCAGAATTGAACAGGCTCAGAAAAACTTCATCACACACGTCCTCAGTCTCTTTCGTTGTCACTCTCAATGTTACTCGTCTCAAGGCAAATTTGCAATTTGATGTACGATTCATACTTATTTGAGTGGCTGCAAATACTTTGTTGTGTACAACAAGGGGGAAAACTCCTGTGGGGATACTCCTGCAGAGAGGGGGGAGAAACCACAGTGACCTGTCCGATAATTTCATTGGTCAGTTTTTTGTTTTACCTTTATTTATTCAGGTAGTCTCAGGGAGTCATGAGGACCCACCCCAAAAGAAAGACATGTATTGGGCAGCTATGTGAGCACCTGTGTGTGACAAGGCTAAATGTTTTGTCTGCATGAAGCTGAAAAATAAATAAATAAATCCATAAATTAGCCGCTGTGTTGTATACGCTGCAGTGTTCAAAGTGTGTGAAATAAGTAGCGGCGCATAGTCCAGAAATTACGGTAAGTGTTCTGTATGTTCCAACCCATCATCACTGAAGACATGAAACTTGTAAGAAGATTTCACCGACCTTGTCGTTGTGAAGCTCAGTCTGGCCCCTCGCCTCCTCCAGCTCCTTCTGCAGTCTCATGCACTTTGCCCTCCACTGGTTCACAGCTTCTTGGGCCCTGCTCTTCAGCTCTTTTTTGCTCCTCGTGCTCTCCTGGAGTAACGCCTCCATCTCCCTCCTGTCTGCCTGCCCTCGACTCTAATAAAATCATTTCCTTATGATCAATAAAGTCTATATTCTGAGCTACAAGACATTAAATAAATGAAGTAGAACATTTTAAGCCTTTACCACTGAACAATCTCATTATTGCAGCGTTAGATTTTACAGATCTTAAGTTTATAATTTTATAACCCTTGCAGCTCAAAAATAGGAACTAAACACAGCTTTTCTTTAATTCAAATGATGGTTAACAAATGTAATATTTGCTTTTTCTAAAACTACCTGTAACTCTCCCAGCTGCTCCAGCATTCGCAGCTGCTGCTGCTCTCGTCCAGCCATGTCTGACGTCAGCTCCTTACATGCAGAGAAAAAAGGGTCAAAGATTGAGTGTTGGTAAGAACTTTGCTACAAGTACCAAAAGAAAAAAGATAGAGTGAATAATGAGCATAGTGACCAGAAAGTAAGAAAACAGAAATAAATAAAAAAAATCAAAAGGAAAGATGAAGGCTTGCAGAGGAGCAAACATGAGGACAAAAAGTAGTAAAGGTCAAAGAAAGTTGTGTTTGTTGACAGTCTCTCTAACAGTAGATTATTGAAGGGTGTCAATGCATAAACAATAAAGCATCCTTATTATTATTCAGCTGAGTTTTTCTTGTTGTCAGTGTTTGATTTGTTTCTCCAGCAACATACCCAAACAAAATATCTATGAAAACACAAAACTCGATTGGGAATACTGTTCTGAATTTTAGTATCAGTACATTATATAATGTATGAAATAAAATAATAATTTGCACATACAAATGTGATTTTAGTAAAGCAGTTGAGAAACTCGGCCCACCTTGAAGCAAGTCTTTTTACCTCTTCATTTATCCTTAATAAAACACAGTAGACAAATATAAACTTTATTTTACAAACCGGATTCCAAAAAAAGTTGGGACACTAAACAAATTGTGAATAAAAACTGAATGCAATGATGTGGAGGTGCCAACATCTAATATTTTATTCAGAATAGAACACAAATCACAGATCAAAAGTTTAAACTGAGAGAATGTATCATTTTAAGGAAAGGAAGGAAGGAAAAATCTGTTGTTTCCAAATTTCATGGCATCAACAAATCCCAAAAAAGTTGGGACAAGTCCATTTGTACCACTGTGTGGCATCCCCCCCCTTCTTCTTACAACACTCAACAGACATCTGGGGACAGAGGAGACCAGTTTCTCAAGTTTAGAAATAGGAATGCTCTCCCATTCATGTCTAATACAGGCCTCTAACTGTTCAATCGTCTTGGGCCTTCTTTCTCGCACCTTCCTCTTTATGATGCGCCAAATGTTCTCTATAAGTGAAAGATCTGGACTGCAGGCTGGCCATTTCAGTACCCGGATCCTTCTCCTACGTAGCCATGATGTTGTGATTGCTGCAGAATGTGGTCTGGCATTATCGTGTTGAAAAATGCAGGGTCTTCCCTGAAAGAGATGACGTCTAGATGGGAGCATATGTTGTTCTAGAACCTGAACATAGTTCTCTGCATTAATGGTGCCTTTCCAGACATGCAAGCTGCCCATGCCACAAGCGCTCATGCAACCCCATACCATCAGTGATGCAGGCTTCTGAACGGAGCGTTGATAACGACTTGGGCTATCCTTGTCTTCTCTGGTCCGGATGACATGGTGTCCCAGTGTTCCATAAAAAACTTCAAATCGTGACTCATATGACCACAGAACAGTCTTCCATTTTGCCACACTCCATTTTAAATGACCCCTGGCCCAGTGCAAACGTCTGAGCTAGCTTGCTTAGAAATGGCTTCCTCTTTGCACTGTAGAGTTTCAGCTGGCAACGGCGGATGGCACGGTGGATTGTGTTCACTGACAATGCTTTCTGGAAGTATTCCTGAGCCCATTCTGTTATTTCCTTGACAGTGGCATTCCTGTTTGAGGTGCAATGACGTTTAAGGGCCCGGAGATCACGAGCATCCAGTAGTTTTACAGCCTTGACCCTTATGCACAGCGATTGTTCCAGATTCTCTGAATCTTTTGTTGATGTTATGCACGGTTGATGATGATGATAACTTAAAAGTCTTTGCTATTTTACGTTGGGTAACACCATTCTGGTATTGCTGCACTATCTTTCTGCACAACAATGGTGGAATTGGTGATCCTCTTACCATCTTGGCTTCTGAGAGACACTGACACTCTGAGAAACTCGTTTTATACCAATCATGTTGTCAGTTGACCTAATTAGTGTTAATTGGTCTTCCAGCTGTTCGTTATATGCTCAATTTCCTTTTTCCACCCACTTATTGCTACTTGTCCCAACTTTTTTGGGATTTGTTGATACTGTGAAATTTTGAATCAACATATTTTTCCTTTGAAATGTTACATTTACTCAGATTAAACTTTTGATCTGTCATCTATGTTATATTACGAATAAAATATTGACATTTGCTATCTCCACATCATTGCATTCAGTTTTTATTCACAATTTGTTTAGTGTTCCAACTTTTTTGGAATCCGGTTTGCATTTTTATTTAACCTTTATTTATACAGGTAGTCTCACTGAGACAGGAGGTAGGGCTGGGCCATATCATATCGTTCACGATAATACCGGTTAAAAAAAAACTTGCCCGGGGAAATAAATTATATCATGATATGCTAATTTCATGACGTAAATACATCAGGACGTCCTGCCCCATTAACTGAACCGAGTGCACCAAACTACCGAACCGAACTGCGCACCCACCATCCACCTGTTGGTATCGGTGTAACGCTAACTAGCTGTGCGCAATACTAGCTAGCTAAAAAGCTAAAAACAAACAACGCACGGCTCCATCCATCTCAAAACTGCAGGTACAGACAATGACAGCTCAACTGTCTCTCCCTCCCCCACCCGCGCAGCTCGGCTTTTTTCTCTTCCCCCACTCCACTCTGAGCTGCCGGTGCGGGCGCAGCTCGGCTGGGTCTCCCCCACTCTAAACTGCCGGTACAAACACGTGCAGCTCAGCTTTGACTCGAGTTCCACAGTCCAAGGACCAAGAACAGAGTCAGGTGATCAGAGACAGATGTAGTGAACTAAGCCTCAGGTCAAAATCTGGCCTTGAGGGCCTGCCTGGAACAAGAACTGTATTTCATTGATTTGAGTCCAGAAACACAAGATTAAGTTCATCCAGAGACTTTCTAAGTGTCCTGCACTGATCAATTGAAAGAACACTCTCTTTTTCTATAATCATGACTATTTTACAAATGTTTGATAATCAAAGTGTGTTTAGTTCAAACCATTTTTAAATGTTGAAGTGAACTACTCATTTTTAATCAACTGTGAAACAGTATTAGTGATTTTTAATCCTCATGCAAAGTAGAAATCACGTTAAGGTCTGTTACAGAGTAATTATGCATTTTCTGATTTTCTGTCTTTGAATGAGCAAGTGTAAGTTGGTCCAAGGTTGGAGTCAAACGCAAAACAAGTTGTTGGAATGAACTGTCATGTTTTTAAATCCTCTCAGATGTAAATATAGAGGCTGGCACCTGTTTTCCCCCAACTCGCCTAAATATTCCTCTCGTCTGTCTGAAAAACATTTTCAATCTGTTCCATAACATTCTTGCTGTTTTTCTGACTTCTAGTGACCTCTTACGTCACAAAAACACACCCCTGTCTGGTCGAAACGACCAATCAGGAACCTTCCAAATGAACCGGAAATAGAACTCTTTAAATGTCGGTACTTCCTAGTTCAAATCAGTCGTTTGCAGAGAGCGGCTCCAGTTGCTTCAGGTTCCAGCTTCAAGCGCCAGCTCCAGTCGAGTGCGGTGGGAGAGAAGTTCAGTTCTGGGAGCAGAACCGAACCGAGAAGTGCTGGAGAAAACAGGAAAATCCCGACATGATCCGCAGTTCTTCCGAGTCTTGTGGGGATTATGACATCTTCCACCTCTGAGTGGAACTTCTGACGGACTCCACTCATGTGAGTCCACCAAGAGGTGAACTTGTGTCGAACAAGTACCGTCACTACTTCGGACGATTCACAGCTGTTCCTACGGAGACGCTGAAAGGGTGCGTTAAATGGAACTTCGTACCAGTGGAGACATCTCCAGGTAAAGAGTTGATTTATACCACCTAAGTGTACCGGGGAAGAAGCTGGGAACTCACCGGAGAGTGCCATTCTGATGCCGACACACACATTTCCCTCATCCATCCTTTCTCTCAACTTAAACTTCATTTCCATCTTTAAAACCCTTCTATCTGCTAGAAATCATTCCAGATATTTTCAGAAATGTCTGTTGTACAGCTGGAAGCAAGGGAAACAATCGCCGTATTGTTTCCTCCTTGTAAAACTTGCTAAATTAGCCATGTTGTTATTTTTCATTTCGCCAAATTAATGTAAATGTGTGATGTGTTAAACTTTGATTCTGTAAATAAATGACCGCATTCATTTTGATGGGTCAAAGATAAACACGTTTCCGTCCACATTTAATAATTCAACACACAACATTATTCAGTCCAGAAAAATGAAAGAATCCGTTTAATTTATGAATATATCACAGCATATGTTCATCTACACAGAGCATAAGAGAAATGAATCATTCCTGCAGGAACAGAGGAAACTGAAACACCACAAGCTTCAGGGTCAGCTGATCACCTTGTCACAAGTTCTGGAAGTTATAGCTCATTTAAAGGCAACATATATTTTGTTGTATGTTACATTTATGCTCAACAGACCTTAAGCTTCATTTTATTTAGTTATTTTGGGAAAATTCACCTGCACTTTAGTTTTTGTGGTGGATTTTATGGTTCTATATTTTGTGCAGACTTTTTCAATCTAAATAACAGAAGGATCATTTTTAATTTTAATTTTTATACTTTGAGACTGAATACTTTACTAACTAAAGGAATTTCAGTAAAATTAACCCTTGTTCTTTTGTTTTTATATAATACTGCAAAGCAACATGTTAAGTGAATTTTGTTAAATCAATAACTATGATTTCTGGTTTTAGTTATTTTGTTTTGCTATATCACAAAATTTATCGTTATCGTCAGAATGCTCTGAAATATCACAATATTATATTTAAGCCATATCGCCCACCCCATCACGAGAACTCATTTTCAAGAGAGACCTGTCTGGGAGCAAATGGTGGGGATTAAATACCTTGCTCAAGAGCCCAGGATAGGGCAAATGAGGGTGGAGGCAGGTGTGGGTGTTTCACCTTTTCCGCCCACATTTTGATGTTGACGGTCCGGTGAGTTGAACCGGCAGCCTTCTGATCACAGGTCCACCTTCTCTAGCCTCTGCTCCACCGCTCCAGCAAACTAATGAGTGACACCAGAAGCTTCTCTACCGTTCAGGACGTTTTTCAACACGACGTGTGGTGTTCACACAGGGACCCTTTGACTGAGGTTTACTTTCCAGTCTGCCTGTCTATGAACAGTGCTGTCAGGGAGTGAGACACACAGGTGTGTGTGTTTGCCAAGGTGACCCTAATGTGAAACTGGCTGTTGCCAGATCTTGGTTTTTAACATTTCTTATATACATAATACATCAAAACACTAAGAATGTTGACGAGTGTTAAGTTTTGGGAAGTAGATGCATTGGTACCCTTTGAAATTTATTTTGAAACGTTCTATTTAATACTGTGCTGAAAAGTGTCCTGAAATTGGCCTGAATTAACCTAATAAAAAAAAAGTTTGAAGCATTTAGTTTGACTGACGTGTAAAGAGAGGGTAAGCAGGGCTACCCTGCTCGCACTGAGGCCTTTAAGGCTGCTAGTTTGGGGTAATTAGCCATACTGATTCGTCTTAGACATATTAAGACAGCATACAAATTCAGCCAACCTCTTCTCCTCATTATAGCTCATTTTTGTACATTTACCTCTAAAATGAAACACTTCTTTCGTCTATTTGATCTAAGCATAAAAACCGCAAGAGACGCCGCAGGTGATGCGTAAAAACACCCACTTTGTGTCTTTACATCTACTCTGCAGCAGGGAGAGAGTGGGCGTTCAAACACATTTTCAAAGAAAGACACAGATCAGGGATTAAATGCAGATATTTAAGTACACATACATTTCTCCATGACACCAACGACAATCATAAATACCACCAATTAGAACTGGAGTGATTTTACAGAGAAAGAATTGACACGTTGTGCAGGCTGAGAAGAATAAATACTGATGTTGTAATCTAAACTGCTGTTTTATCTGAACTGATGGCTTCGATGTCTCTTCAAAAGATAAAACTTAGAAAGAAGCAGGAAATTCCTTCCCTGAGCTGTTTGTGTGACGCACCTTCAGCTGTAAGCTCAGCTGGAGCCGCTCGTTCTCCTTGCGCTCAAGGGCCCTTTTCAGTTCTTCAACCTCAAGGACCGAGGACCTGGACAACTGGGACCGCAGCTCAGCCACTTCTGCTTCCAGTTCTGAGTGATTGAGGTTTCACACACACATGCAGAATGTTAACAAATTGTTAAAATTTGTGACTCAAGGAAAAGACAAAAAATAAACAGGAGACAACAAGCTAAAGCATAAAAAAGCATTTAAAAAACAAATATCAGAATCAGCTTTATTGTCATTTCAGTACAGTCCATCTAAAGAAACACAAACAACCAAACAACATAGACATGGGAGGACGGGGTGTCTGAGGCTGCAGCCTCATGAGAGGCGCTGCCTTTTTTTGTTAGATAAGGAAAAGGGAACACGAGGGAAAGGGGAGGTAAAAAAAAATCATATCTCACAATGTGAGGTTGCAAAAAAACTCAGCACAAAAAGCAACATACAGATGACATAATAAGATGCATGTGGGGTGGGTGAGGGTGAAGTGGGGTGGGGGTGCTCCCAGCACAGGCCACCCAAGAGAGCGCCGCAGCCACATGGCGCGCCGCATCCAAGCTAGGTTACTGCACCAGTGGGGCAAAAGGAGAGACCAGTGAAGGTGATGGGAGTGCGAGCTGTGCGAATGAGTGTGTACATGTGTGCGTTTGTAAGTAAGTCCGTGAACACTGTTTCAGACCGGACCATAGAGGTACACATGATCTTCCACTGCCTCCAGGAATCCATCTGCTGCAAGTGTCCCGTCGGAGCAGGAGGGCTCTCCTTCACCCGGTCTTCTCATTGAAAAAATGTGATCAATTGCGTTGAGAGACCAGCTGACCAGATCCATGATTTACAATTCGAAAGACATGCAAAGAGAGGCTCTGAAAGGTCCAAAAATAGCAAAAATATAAAGTATAAAAAGAAACAGTATACAAGGATCTAAGATATAAATTAAACAATAATAATGTAAAATAATACAGTGTATTAAACAGCAGCCTGAGCATGAGTCTGTAGTGAGCAGATGGGTATGAATACAGCAGCTTAAAGGCAAGAAATCAGCAACATGGATAATCAGCAGCACAGGTGAAGTGTCAAATCTCCAATTCTCAAACCGATCTGGACCGTGCCAGTCGATCCTGAGCTGAGCCAGGCCAGCTGTGTGGAACAGAACTGTCCATTTTTAAGCCAGGTGCGTCAAAGTCACATACGATGCAGCCGATTAGGCCAGCCGGTTATCTTAATGTAACTGCACATCCATGACCAGCTGAATGTGTTTATGTTTGTTAATGTTTGTTGTTTGTGTCACTTCATGAATAAGTCTTTGTTCGATGTCTTCTGTTTCCAGACCTGACTGACTGGCAGGACTTTAGAAAAAACAAGCTCTGCTCACTGGAGATGGTAGAGGCTGAAAGATGGAGGCTGCTGGTGCTGCGCTCTGTTTCCACGCTCACTCCCTTCATCAGCTGTGGTCATCAACCTTATACAAAGTCATTTCATTCTTCACTGCTATTAATGGTTATTTAGAGCGGAATTTACAGACTGTTTCTGGTCCTCAGCTTTAATGTGGGGGTAACAGGTTTAGGAGAGAGGTCCATATGCAGCAGACCTTAGCTAGTGAGAGGCTTTCTCCCTCGTGTTTGGTCCAGGGCTCCCAACTCCCTTTGGGTTTGATGTGGTTAATGTTTTTATTAAATTTATTTAAAAGGTTGCAATCATCTGGACTCCATTTGATATGTTATGTAGCAATGAAACATTTTCTTTCAGTCATTGTACAAATTATATTAAAAAAAACAACTAACCAACATCATGACAAGTTGTTGACGCAATGCACAATTTATCTGTTCTAATGAACAACATGGTTTAGAACAGACTACAAGCTGCCACAGAGCTAGCCAATTAATTCATTTTAAAATCTTAGTATTAATGCCTCTGATGTGCACAAAGTGTATGTGCCCTCGCACCATATATTGATCAATACTAGTTGGTGAATTCAAATAGCGTTCAATGCAAAAACAACTTGACTTTATTTGTAACAGAAGACGTTTCGCTCCTCATCCGAGGAGCTTTCTCAATTCAATGAGCAGTGAGTGAGAGATTCAGGTTATAAGGCTGAGTGAGATAAGACACACACACATATGTAGATTGGCAATTCACACCTAAACACCTTAACAGTAGGGGTTTCTTAAAGTCTTTGTTACTCTAATTCACAGATGAGACCCCTCTGTTCCCATCAAGTGTGAAAAGTGGCTGGGAATCAGTCTTAGGGTGCATTCACACCAGCCCTATTTAGTCCGCTTTAATCAAACTCTAGCTCGTTTTCCTAGAAAGTCCGGTTCGTTTGGGGAGGTGTGAACGCGCCATCGAACTCTGTCACGTAACAAAAAGGCGAACTCTGGCCCGGGCTAAAACCTAGGTCTCGGTCCGGTAGAAGAGAACTCCAGCGCGGTTCGAGTACAGTGTGAATGTAAACAGACCGGACCCCGCTCCACAAGCAAGAAGTAGAGTACAACGCAGGGCAAACAAACACGCATTTCTCTGACCTTATATGGAGCCGTCAGCTGCCTTGTGTGAAAAACAATATTCTCCCTGGTCTTCTGTCTCATCTTCTGCTCATGCTAAGTCCATTTTTGAAAAATGACAAAATATAACTCATGAAACTGCTAAAACTTGATGCCACTCCGTTTTTGTTTTTATTTCCAGAAGAAGAAGTGTCTTCAGAGGTTTTTGTGTCGTTTCTTTCAGTAGTTCTTGGTGCAGCGCCCCCACAGGCGAGCGGGGGAACAGGTTGGTTCAACAGGTTGACTCCACTGCACAGTGCAGTGTGAATGCAAACGCACCAGCTCAAATTTAAACAAAATGTTATGAATATTGGTCCCGAACCGAACCGAGTCTACCGGACTATCAGGTGTGAATGCACCCTAAAAGTTGCATTATAGGTTTTTGAAAGTGGAAATCTGAGGCCTCGTCCTCTGTTAAGAAACGGCTTTTCTCTTTTTACATAAATAGCTTCCTTCACCCCCCCCCCCCCCCCCAAACCATCTGTGTTCTCGGTCCAAAATGTGCACATTTTGGTCCTCAAAAGAGAGTCCCTTATCTGTGAGGTGGAGGTGAACAGCTGAATCTTGTCCTGAGGAGCTTCCAGATGTTTTTGTATTGAACACTTTTTGAATTCATCATGTCCTGGATGACTGAGAATCTTCACCAGCATACTAGTTGGTGGTTTAAGCAAGTGACCCCGTTTTTTATTTCTAGGTAAACTAGTTTCACAGCATTCTACCAAACCCCCAAGAATTTTGGTGTTTACACAAGTTGTGTCAATAAACATGTAAAAAGCTTGAAATGTGTCAGCCAGTGTGCTCTTGGCAGACGTGCCCCTGGCTGATGTTTGAGCATGAAGCGATGAGAATCACACACGCAGGACACATTCACATTTATTCACGTATTTAAATAGGAGACCTGTCCAGAGAGGCTCTTACATTCAATCAGTTCCAGGCTGATTTTATTTATTTATTAACATTTATTTAACCAGTCAAATCCCATTGAGATCACATATCTCTTTTGCAAGGGAGGCCTGAAGGCAGACTAACATGCATGTTTTTGGTCTGTGGGAGGAAACCGGAGTACCCGGAGAAAACCCACGCATGCAAGAGAAGAACATGCAAACTCCACACAGAAAGACCCCAGGTCCAACCGGAGACTAAACCCAGGACCTTTTTGATATGAGGCAACAGTGTTAACCACTGAGCCACTGTGAAGAGTCGTACAAAGAAAATGTGCTTCATATCAAGCATATGCACCATTTCCAGTGTTTCCACTAGAAAACTTGCCATGGTGGGGTGCTAATCTAGTCGGTGATTTTGTTGTCGGGGGGAGACACAGACAGGTCTGAGCTGCACGCTG